TTTTTTTTGTACTTTGCTTTTGTTCTGCTTCCTACTTGCTCCTTTGGGGAGCAGCTCACTTCCAGTCCCGTTGGGATGTTTTTGTTACTTGTAATCAACATATGAAAAAGAGAACCATTGGGTAAAAATGGAATTGGTATCAATAATTTTAATGCATAAATTCTATTCACGCTGCTGAGTACATATCCCCGCACAATACAATATTGCTTTTAGTTGAGATATACAGGTAAGATTAGTTTGGCAGCTCCGTACGATCTCACATAGGCAATTAGATAGATAGATAGATATTAATATGAGGTGTGCGCCGCGACCTGATGATCTATTGTGCCCTCTTCTCTTCACAATACTTCACCTAAGCCCAGATCCTTCAGAAAGTTCAATAGCGCCTTTCGTGGGTAGGAAGTGGATGTGCTCAAGCTGTGGTCACATCGAGCCTAGACTCCTCTCACGTCTTCTGCAGATCGCACCACACTCGGTGACAATGTGAAGTGGTGTTTCGCTGATCAAGTCACAGAACCTACAGAGATCTTTCGACCATATGCCCAGCTTATGTAGGTGACCCCTTAGTCTGCAGTGTCCTGTAAGAATACCTGTTAGAATTCTAGGCCTTTTTTTTGCAGGTTTATTAAGCCTTGGAATCCCTTCTTGTTAAACCCCCAGTAAAATCTTTGCCTGGCGCATTCCTCCCGAACTGCACCAGTTTAAATCCCTTTGTGCGAACCTCTATCTCCTAAGTTCCTCCTTTATATTATTGGGGAGCTACTCCCAGGAAGGGCTCTGGGCCAACTTGATTGATGGCTGCCGCCTCTCTGGCGAGACAGTTAGCCACCTCATTACCCTCTACTCCCCTATGGCCGGGTACCCACGCTAATCTGATGTTATTGTGTCTGCCAAAGGAGTTTAGCTTCTCAATGCACTCAAGGACCGACGAGGATTTGACTTCGTAGGATAGAAGAGCCTTGAGTGTCTCCTGACTATATTATAATTCTCCCATTTCTGTTCCCTCTACTCATGATTGTCTCTGCACATCGGTAGATGGCATGGACTTCTGATTGGAAGATAATAATAATAATAATAATAATAATAGATTGGCGCTTACACATATGTTAGTGTTTGGCCGAGCTTCTCCTCCGATTTGTGGCGTGCGCCTTGATGTTGTCACACAAAACGGAGGGACCTACAGTTTTACGCCGACTCCGAACGGCGATTGTATTTTTATGAGAAGCTGTTTTTCATGGCAGAAATACACTCGGAGGTTTGCCATTGCCTGCCGAGGGACGACCGCTGTTAAGAAAAAACCTTTTTTCTATATTTTTTTTTGCGATGTTGCTTTGACCAGGGTTTGAACCCAGGCGTTGCGGAGTGGAAGCGCGCACTGCTTACCACTACACCACAGCGGCCGACAATTGATTGATTGGAAGATGCTCGGTTATTTCCCCACAGGAGCAGAGATTCTAAGGACTCAACCCCCTACTCCTTCTGGGGTCTTCGAGCCATCTGTGTACCAGTGCATTGTGTAATTCTGATTGATTGATTTGCTGCATAACTGTATCTTGAATCTCTTCTCAAATACTATGGTATTTCCT